TTTTTTTTTTTGAAAGTGGCGCAAGTCACTTTGTTTTTAAATCGAACGTTTGTTTAAGGATTTCAATGTGCCTAGAAAAATTTACCTCTAGAAGAGAATTGTTACTATTACTTCTACAAAGAGATAGGATGTTCATGACTAACTCTTAAAATTACGATAAAATTACGGTGGGTTCTTGAATAAATTTTATTAATCCTCAATTTTATTCATGAAATTTACTAAATATATATAATTAATGATAAAATAAAATCAAAATTAAAATAACGTTGATACATGAACAACATCGATATTCTTAAATAAACTCCACCAACTCTTCACTTCGTTTCATTCAATCCTGTCTTTACAATTGAATTCAATACCATTACAATTGTAATAATTAAATATTTAATGTAATAATGTAATAATTAAATATTTTCATATTAATAATAATCTTGATAACAAATATGTTATACATCGCACAATAATTGATCAAATTTTATTAATTAAATAATAAAATAATAAAAAATAATGGCAACATCGAGCGGATTGCTCGTAATTTAAAAATTAAATTAATAAATTTAAAATCGAAAATGACACACGATTTTCTATCATTTAATTTTATAAAGCAGTAGATTATAAAATTACAATAACTGAATACGCAGTGACAAACAATAAAAATTGTTTAACATCTAAATATACAATTGCAAAGAGAGGATTGAATGAAACGAAGAACTACTGAAATTCCCTGAAATTACGACAATGCAAAGCGTCAGTCTCCATCAACAAAGTCCATCAACAAAATCTCAACTTCGTTCGTTCGACCCTCCTCTTACAATTAAATTCAATCAACAGTTACTTCCACAACGAGAAAAATATTCAACCGGAAAGGTCCCGGATAATTAGCATAATAGTCGTTAACAGAAAATTGCGAGAGACCGACGCGACGTTGCACGCTCTCGCTGGTAATCGAAAGAGGAGAAACAAAACGAAGGAAAAACAGGTGAAATCGCGGTTGCCGACGCGTTCGTGTTGGCCGAGCTATTCAGCCGTTATTCCTTTTACACGCTGGAAGCGCGAACGTCCTTCCGCGTGATTACGGAATCTCACCTGTTGCCGGCTATTACTTCTGCCGCGGATTACGTAACAATTATTACGACAATCGATTACCATTTTACCGAGGTCATGGATGGATACTGAAATCGACATAAACTAGATAACAACGCGTTCGCCCACGTGCCCGGTAAACTCTTCCGTTTGTCATACGTATCTGATGCACCGAGTTTAACGACACCGAGTTACGTAAGTTCGATGACAAATCGACTCGATCACCGATCGAACGCCGATCGCGATACGAAAGGCTATTAAGTCAATTAACTTCAAGCCTCTGAATCACGAATGGCATTACACTCTAGAGTGTAAATTTAATTTGTTAAAATTGGATTATCAATTGCATTGAAAAACTGACGAGAGTAAGGAAATTTTCAATACGTTTTCAATTAATTTTAATTGATCGAAAGAAGAAAATTTAAATTATATTAAAAAATTGACCAAAATTTTGATCAAGCTCATTTTTCTCGACTCGAGATTTTCCAAGACTATCGAAATTTTTCTTAAATGCGACTGTTATTATAGTATGATAACTGAAATAAAGACGAATCGAATGATCTGTTATATTAACGCCAACACTACGATACAACTTTCACACGATACTGAGTATAGAAGATTCAAAAAAGTCAGACATATAAATTACCGACATATAATGTTGGCACAATGTATATTCGATACTAAATTACATCTCAACGATATATTTGTTAATAACTTACGTTAAGGCCCATTTCCAAAGAAGACTAAGAAGCAGAGACGCCAAGGTAGAGAGATGTTCATCCACGGACTGCAACTGTTGGAACGAAACACACGAGGATCCGTAAAACAGTTAATATAATACAATCGCGGAACGATCGCGTAATGCGTAATACGTCGTTTGCAAGAAATTTCAACACGTGTTATCGAAACCGAATGTGAAATCGGACTGACTCGTGTCTAGACAAGTTTGTTCCGATTCTGTTGTCGCAGTTCGAGGACGATAAACACGTACTACGTACCGCGTATTATTTCCATTCGTTTGGCGAGAAACGTACTTTCTATTATTTTCATTCGTTTCCACGAATCGTGGACATGGCTTAGACTTTGTTTTGGAAAATTTTTTATTACTCATATAGGTAGATTGGTATAAACGTACGCGAGTGAAAACGTGTGACGATTGCTATTTTAAATGGCGACTTTTTAATCACTCTCCACACTTGTGAAATTTACAGCGACATTTTTGTGGAATTTTCAACGATTTCTTTGTAAAGTTTGTACATAATTGTCCTTTATTTATAACGATTTCGTTGAGGAATTTTTAATAATTTATAATAATGCTTCGTCATGGAATTTATAACATTTTATCATATTTCTTGTAAAATTCGAAACTCCTATAAAATTTATAGTAACTTCTTTGTGCAATTTATTCTACTTATTACAAACATAACACATTACAATTAAAATTACTTTTTATTAAGTTATCGTTTGTGTATTGAAATATTTGTAATTTATACATCATATGTATATGTTCAAATATTTCGAACTACATCATTTCCTGTTTGATTGGCGACTCGTTCAAACAGCCTAGAAACGCGAGCATTATGCAACGGCGAGATAAATTTTGTCGGGTTTCTGTTTACGCGGCAAGAATCGAGCATATTACGAGATAAAACCGCGTGTCTAACACGTTCGAAATGCGACTGCGGATATACGTAAAAAAAGGAGCGCCGAGCGGTAATCCTATTTAAAAAAAAACGGCGAACGTGTCGAGCCTCTGAATGAAGAGAGCGATATCCATAAAAATGTTTCGAGCATTACCGCGAGATTTCTCCGCGCGATAACTGCTGTAACAACTGTTATCCGTCATTCTGTAAGACGTGGCTGTCATTAGATATTCCGCCGGCAAACGTGTCATTAATCCGAGTCGATTGATCGATAGAGAAGTGAAGAGGCAACCGCACGTGCCGTGATAAATACATACGTACATACGTCCAATTCGTATGTGTTCGAACGGAAGACGTCGTCTTTTCTTGGCTGACGTTTCCTCTCGTGAGCTTGTGTGCGTGTAGTAATTTGACAAGTTTAACTCGTTGAAAATAGGTACGTAGTTGGTCATTTGTATACGCTTTCATTCAGAAGTGCTGAAGCACCCTTTTCTTCTCGAGCGAAACGCATTTTTGCGCAACTTTTTCGGAGAAATGCGTAGTTAAGTAATTAATTTGAGCCATTAATTGCGAATTTTTACGCATTTCATTGTTGCGAGTTTAGAGGAAATTTTATCATTGTGAATTTAGATATCTGTCAGAGATAATTAAATTTCTTCACTGCTCGTGTATTTTGTAATTCTCAATATGGTTAATATGTCAACATTTCGCAGATTCTTCGATCGTATATTAATTTTCTTAGTTTCGATAACAAAAGAATTTTGCGATTTTTAAGAATGTACGTATAATTTTATGAAACTTACTTCAAAATAATTCATAATGCTAACTGACAATACTGACAACTGAATATCAACAAGTAACAAGTTACGGATTATAAACTTCTCTTTCGTAATTTCCTAATTTCGCGTCAAATAGTGTAACAATTCGTGCTGAAAATTTATTTCGTTGAATTCCATTCATTTCAGCATCAGAATAAAAACCGTTTCTCTTAATGTCACTGCTAGGAATTTTCAAATTAAATTAGTAATAAAAGTCCAAGATAATTTTAATAGAATTCACTTCAATCGTGCAAATGGACAGAACTTGTGAAAGTCCACGAAATGGACTGGTAGAATATATTAAATTCATACCGTGTTACACCACAGTATATAGTTACACTACGTATTAAACGTATCCATTCAATCGTGTACATTAAATATTACACTGTTACAGTAGGATGAATAAATAAATTGATTACCAATAATTAATTACTTTAAACAAGACAATTCCTAGAGTTCGAGGGTTTGAAATGGCAATCGATTAGAATTAATCTCACATTGAGAGAGGCACTTAATCGTCAATCAAGAATCCCGTTGAAACTAAGATCGCAACCATCGCTCGATTGTTTCTCCGTGTTTCCCCGATACGTACGCTATTAATCCGGTTTACGATCGACCGATCTCGATCGAGATAGTTGACAAGTGCGGCACGTGCCACGGTAAATATGGTAAATGACTCAATTGTAGCTGCAACTCGCGATGTTTGCCGTGACTTTTTTTTTTATCTTTACTCAACGTGAGGTGTCTTTACCCACACACGATGAATCATCAAACAACAGCAAGTTTGTATCTGGTATATTCCGTTCCAACTACGTATGCATGTACTTCTAAATACGTTTCAACGCTAGAAACACGAGGCAAAAGTTTCACAAAAGCTTATTTTGCTACTGAAATTAAATCGACGTTTGAGTATTCAATTTTTTTAATTGTTACTTTTAAATATCGTTGCTGATTATAATTTTTCCCTCTAACATCTTGTTTCTGATTTGTTATCTATTTTCACTAAGGCCAATTTACCAGTAAACAACAAATAACGTGGTATCAATTGCAAAACCTAGCAAATATATAATTCCATTGACAAATTAAGAATATTTTACATATATGTTGTTCTTGCTCCCTGATTTTAATTTAACACGATATCACTTTCATCGAGTGGAGCAATAAAAATATCGAACACGATGCGACCAAAAAAAAATGCAGTACAGCAAAATCTCGTAAATCGATAATTCCACTGACAAATTAAGAATATCATCATGTACCATTCTTGCTCTCTGATTTTAATTTATGATTTACGATTTAGCAAACAGCAAATAACACGGTATCACTCGCGTCGTGCGAAGCAATAAAAATATCGAACACGACGCGTCGCAGAGGAAGAAAATTGCAAAAAACGGCGGGAACCTCGCGGACCTTGTAATTCCATCGGCAAGTTAAAATGCGTGTTACCCTCTATAAACGGCGCCGGTTTGTCTCGTGCGCCTCGCATTCCCGAACTGGACTCGACGCGGATTCTATAAGGTTACGCCCTTTTTGCGACGATTTGCTCAAGCTTGTTGGCACGTGGACACCCATCGGCTTCTTGCCGCCGGCTTAGAACCAGCTAACGGCGTGTCGCGAGGCGCCGGATTAAAACGGGGCTCGTTCTTTCCACGCGAGAGATAAAGACGTTTCCCCGAGCTCGATCATACGACTACCCGACGTACATTGAGAAACGTGATTTTCTAGGAATGCTTTCGACGCGAGCTAACTGGTCTGCTGGTTTAATAGAGAAGAAGCAACATCGCTTCTTGCGCGTCTATCATTCGCAACGTGTGCTCGTGAACTGCGAATAAATGTATCGATGTCGGATTTTTTTTAAATTTTAAACCCTCGGTAATATATAACGAGTTTAAAATAATATATAATAATATATAATTTAAAAAAAATATTTTCCTCCGGAGATAGCACTGATTTTGAGATATCCGAGGTAAGAACCATTAGTTTCTTAATTCTACTTATTATAATTTTACGTTTTCTCGTGTAAGTAATTTTAATGAATTTATTATCAATTTTTATTTTCTATACTTGAACGAATATCTAAATATTTTTCTTCCTTCACCTTTCTGATATCTAATACTGTTTAGGTGAAGAAAAATAATAGTCAAACCAATAGTTAATCAACGATCAATTGATAATTCGAATAGAAATATATAAATTTTGATTGCTAAATTATCTAACAATAACAAAAATCAATTTCACAATTTCACGTATAATCAAATGATTTGAATAGTCGCGTGTTATAAATAGAATGATTAAATAATTGAAAAGAGAAAAGACGTAGACCTATATTTCAGATAATACACAGGTTTTGAAAGATCGTTTCAAACAAATTGTCCAAGAAAATTTTCAGAATGATTTTTCGAATCATCGTTCAACTGGAAACCACGAGTTAAATGAACCGCGGATTAAAATCTAACCCAGATCACGCGGAACAAACAAACCAATTGATTCAGAATATCGGAAGCACCATCTGAAACACCCTTACAATCGGTCATCGAAGAACAGTGCCAAGGGAACGCCAGGGCAGGCGAGGGTAATTAGGCGAGCACGCGCCCCTACCCAAGCGACACGCACGTCCGACGATATATGGCCGTAACGTGAAACTGATACAGCGCGTATTCGTGATAAATTACGCGTAATTACGGGCCCCGTGCTTCTGTAAACAGACGGTAAATCGCGCGGAATCGACGTTCGCGCTATTAAGAGAAACAACGCGAACAATAGGAAGCGAGAAGGAAAGTCAAAACAAGAGAAAAAGTCGTGAAAAGATGGCGTACGGACGGTGGACGAGCGTGATGCTTCCTTCCTTTTTAATTGATGCTGCCGGATGCTGCAACAGAATCCTCTTTGCCTGGAGGCGTAGGCAGACGCTTGAAATTGAAACGCTGAGAGAGCCAGCTATAATTCACGACTCGCGCGGCTGTAATAATGTTTGCACCTTTCTTGCCCTCGACACGTGCCCTTTTTTTTCCTCCCGCGGTTTACGATGCAGATCTTGTTTCAGCGGTGAATTGTATGATTACACGTGTGATTACATGTCGCTGGTGTTTGAATTACACGGATTCGCACGATGGTTTATTGTTATGATGTTGTTACATTGAATATTTATTGAGAAAGTATATACGATGGTTTATCACTATTATGTTGTTATCGAATACTTGTTTAATTTGATGATATACTATTTACATATTGTACATTACAGTGTATATCTAACGTATCGTACACAGTTCATGAAAATATGTAAATAGGTTAGAAATTTTTATAGCGATAATATTCGCGTGATCCAATGTACA